CCCCCCAGGAAGGAGCTCTGTGGCTGCTGTAGCTATCAATCACTGCCTCGCCCCCTTAGCCGGCTGGCCGGTGTGTGCCAAGTGTGTACTGGGGCTACGCAGAATTCACAGCAAAAAGAAACTAAAGTGCGAGTTTATTTTGGTGTACAAATATTAAAATTCAGGCGAGCCCCATGACCTGGTAGTTAAGGGAGCTGGATCCCACATGGCTGACTGTAGTTCAAGGCTCAGCCCTGGAGGCTTGAAAGACGCACAGGGCGCATGTGCACGTGTGCCCCAAATCCCAACAGGAATGAAGAAGGGAGGTGGTGTGATCATGTCCTGTTGCGGGGTGCTTTCTCTCTCCCCTCTCCCCAGTTCTCTGTCTCTCTCTGACAAGCGTATACACTCTCTGGCAAATTAAAAAATACAAGGAAAAAAAGGAATCCAGGCATAGGTTTTCATGATACACATTTTCCATGAGCTTTGGACGACCGCATATATGGTAATTCGCCATTGCAGTAAGTACTGGGATACAGAGATCAAGTGATCTACTGAAGGATGCACGTTCCCGCCAGGGCAGAGACAAAACCAAATAAAATGCCACATGGCAAGTTCCAGACAGGAGGACAGCACCGGTGAGGAGGGTCACAGAGCAGCAGCCCCACTCAGCCTGACCAAGGTCGGAAACAGCTTCCTGAAGGGCATGACTGCCTGAATTTCTTTTTTCTTTTTTAAAAGAATTACTTAAATTTTATCATTATCATTATTTTTCAATTTGCTACAGAGCATGTGTACTCACCAGATATATATATATATATATATATATATATACACACACACACACACACACACACACACACAGAGAGAGAGAGCCACCAGGTCAGAGACTTGAACTGCGGTCAGCCATGTGTGAGTCCAGCGCCTTAATCACCATGCCACCTGCTGGACCCCACCTGAATACTGATGAGTGAGCAGAGCCAGTAGGTGGAGAAGGCGGGAGGGACACTTCAGGTCAGACAGTTGTGAATAGGACGTGATGAACAGATCAGAGAGACACTCTGCTCATGGAAGTCTCAACTTCACTGCAAAGGTGACCAGAGACTAGTGACAGGCATTCAGCAGTGCATGACATGGCCAGGTTTGCTTATCCAGAAGACCGTTCTGGAAGCCACATGGAGGAGGAACTTGCCAGGGAGGCTGGTCAAGAGGCTATTGAGGTGACCCAGGTGTGAAGTGATATGTGCTTGGACTAAGAGGAAATTGGGGTTAGGCCCTTAGGGAGTCACCATGACCATGGAGAAGGTTCTGGACTGTCCAGGCCATCCACTCTCCAGGACATGGCAGAGGGAGACCGAGCGGGAGGAGCCTAGGATGAGCCCAGGACTCGAGCAGCTGAGGGAGCATGGAGTGTGGGATGCTTCCCACCCAGCCTGCAGCCAGGGAGCCTGGGCCTCAGGGGTCAACTGTGGAGTCAACTGTGGGGTGCCCACAGCTTCCCTTCGTCAACCTTGGGCTCCAGGGGTAGTGTTCTTGGCACTTTTCGGACACCTTCTGTTCCGATGGCGGCCACCCTACGACTGGCCTCAGCCCTGGGACTCACCTGATGCAGGGATTGTAGTGATGGGGCCCTGGTGTGCGGGGCTGGGCCAGGCGTGGTGGCCTGCAGCTGCTCTACGCTGTAGCTGCGCGACTTGGCCAGCTTGGGCCGTGAGCTCTGGCCCAGGGCTGAGAAGAACTTCCTGAGCCCCAGAGTGGAGGCGACACTGCTACTCCTTTTCTTGTGCCGGTCAGAAGAGGCAGCTGAGGGTGGCCTGGGTCCTGTGCCAGCCCCCGGTGGTGCTCTGAAACGCAAGGGTGAACATGAAGGGGACAGAGACGACTGCACGGCAGGCTGCTCCCGAGTTCCCAGTGGCACCCCAACCGCCTGGCCCAGACGGAAGCCAGCCGAGAAAAGAAGGCTGAATGGACTTCTGCAGCCTAGCAGCCTGGTTCTGGAACAGCTTGGGCATGACACTCAGCTACGGGCTCATCCAGCAATTCACTCACTCACTCATTCATTCACTGGGCTCCTAAGCAGACCAGTGAACAAGGGGGAGTCAGCAACTGACGTGGGGCGGTGTTTGTCTAAACAGCGTGTCCAGGGAGGCCTCTGAGAAGACCATCCTTACACCAAGCCGAGTGGTAGGCAGGAGCTGGGTGGGCATGAGGGGGACAGAGAGGGGACAGCTGGTGCTGCCACCCTTGGCAGAAAAAGGCTCAGGACATGAGCCTTTTTCAAGGACAGGAGGGGGCCGGGGCATTAAGGCTTGGACGTGGGCAATAGCTGTGAGGTGAGGGCAGACGGGCACACAGAGGCAGATGGCAGAGAACTGAAGGGCTGGCCTCAGGAAGAGGTCTGAATTCCATTCCGGGGAGAGGACAGCCATTGCAGGGCTGTGAGCCCAAGCCGAGTGGTAGGCGGGAGCTGGGTGGGCATGAGGGGGACAGAGAGGGGACAGCTGGTGCTGCCACCCTTGGCAGAAAAAGGCTCAGGACATGAGCCTTTTTCAAGGACAGGAGGGGGGCCGGGGCATTAAGGCTTGGACGTGGGCAATAGCTGTGAGGTGAGGGCAGACGGGCACACAGAGGCAGATGGCAGAGAACTGAAGGGCTGGCCTCAGGAAGAGGTCTGAATTCCATTCCGGGGAGAGGACAGCCATTGCAGGGCTGTGAGCAGGAAGAGGCCGTTAATTAGGTGGCTGGCAGCAGGAGAAGGAACCGCAGGAGCCTGAGTAGGACCAAAGCAGACAGGCTGTTGGCTGGGACAGGAGCATCGGCTCTCCCCCGGGGAGGACAAAGGCAGAGCCCCCAGGGGATTCGAGGGAACAGAGAGGGAGAGGAGTGGAGAGGGAGACAGAGGGAGGGTCTGGCCAGGCTCTAGCACTGGGAATGGCCACTCATGGGCAGGGGACGAGGGAGAGGCGGTTGCTGAGTTCCGTTTGAGGGGTTGCTATTATTTGAATGCCCCCTCCCCCATTTATGTGTTGACATTTGGCCGTAACAGGATCGAGAGGGTGAAAACGTAACTCCCCTGTGGTGTTTAAAGATGGGGTCTTTGGGAGGAAATTGGGGTTAGGCCCTTAGGGACCTTAGAGCACCCTGAGGGAGGCTGGAATGAGGCTCCTGCCCCCCACCAGGCTGTGGTGCTGCCTGAAGACCCTCACCTGCGGCAGCCCCTGGACCCCCATACTGTGAGCTGCATAAACCTCTATTTTACAATTAAGTTTATTTTATTCATGAGAGAAAGCATGCACGCACTCAAGTGAGGAGTGGAGTGGGGCACCCTTAACAGGACCTCCTCAAGCCGGGATCTCCTTCCCTGGCCCTCCAGCTCATGAGGACTCCGGCACAGGCATGCCTATGTGTGTCCAGGTCGACTTGGGACCTAAACCCATGCTCACCATGTGGCTTCCAGCACGCCACCACCTGCCCCACCGAGTCTAGGCCAGACCTCTGTACAAATCACCCAGTTGCGGGTATTTTCTGCCATTAGCAACAGAAATGACTGAAACAGACCCCCTGGGGCAGATGTCCAGGAGAAAGTGGGCGGACAGAGCTGGCGTCCTAGAGGGCACACAGGGCAGCTGTGCGTGGCCGGTGAGGCCCTGGGCTGCCTGTGGCAGGGATGGGAAGGCCCTGGCCAGATCACCAGGCTCACCAGGGCCTCGAGGCTGGGCCAAGGAGGCCCCCACTGTGGGGATACAGACCTGCAGAGCTGAAGGAGAGCAGCAGTAGCACTGCTGGGTTCAGCCTCCTCCGCACCCGGTGCTCGACCAGCCCATCGGGAGTCCTGACAGGCGGCACCTCTGGGCCCCCAGTAGGGCGTCCCTGCTGCCTGTGCTGAGCACCGGCCTAGTGCCTGGAGCTGGAGTGACCGAGCAACCACACACATCAGACTACAAGAAACAGGGAAAGGGATGTCAGGGTGCCAGGCGTGGATGTGTCTAGGAGGCCGCCGAGGACTTAGGGAGGTAAGGTCTCTTCACTCTGCACTCCCACCCCCTGCAGTCAGGCCTCCTTCCTGTCACTTACTGGGATGGGGTGTGTCCTCCAGAGCTCGCCTCTGTCCTCTGAGAGCCTCCTTCAGCTTCCCGGCTGGACTCGAGCTCCTCCGAGGCCAGGGAGAGGGTGATGCTCGTGGAGTTGACGGTGGCGACGTCTACGGAGCCCGGATGTCCTGCAACAACCACAGCACCCTCCTGGGCCAGGCCGACCGTCTCCAGGTCCCGTGGGTGAAGAGGTGTTCCCAGCAACAGAGGAGGAGGGGAGGCTGGAGGGAGGCGGGAACCCCACGAGAGCAGAGGTGACAGAGAGAGCCTGGGAAGCAGCGGGGGCAGGTGGGTGGCCTGGAGGTGACCAGAGATGAGGACCCCTCCCTGGACATCCCCTAGACTGGGAGCCACGTGAGGAAGGGACTGGGTTCTGCTGACTACGCACCCCATCACCCAGCACAGCACGGGCACTGTTAGAGGAGGAGGTCACGTCCCTTTCTACCAAGTGACCTAGCTGGGAGCAGGGGAAAACTCTAGGTTCCCAGGAAAGACCGCCATCTTGCCGGCTGTGATTTCTAGCGCATTAACAGAACCACCACTCAGGGAGCCCCATATGCTAGGTGCTGCATTCACCCTCCACAGGGAGCTTCGGGGGTGTCATTACTGTCCCGCCGTATGAGGGGGAGATGGGAGCACTGAAGGCCGCTCAGCTAATGACAAGGGGGAGCCTCACCTCTCTCTGCTCCAGGCCTCCAGGAGGCAAAGGCCCAGGCTGCCTGGAGGGGCCATCAGATCAGGGGACAGACGCCCTGCAGGGAGTAGTTAGGGCGAGCCACAGCCCGCCTACAGCCCTGCGACAGGAAGCCGCACTCAGTGTACGTCTGTGTTTGGGGTGTGGAGGTGTCCCTCCAGGGCCGTGTAAGCAAGGCAGAGAGGGACAGCACTGGAGGGGTGGTGGCCATGCCTGGGCATGGGGCACCTGCATCCACATCTGTAATGACTTCATTGGGCTCAGTTCTCTGCCCTCTCCTCCACCCTGTTCCCTGGACTCTTTTGGAGCCATCCTGGCCCCACAAATATTGGAGCCACAGATCAAGGATGTGGGGGGGGTGCTTTTTTCTCTGCTCGAAAGTGCATGGCGAGTGGGCACCTAGACCCCAGCCCTGGAGAGCAGAGCCTAAGCCTGCCGACGCAGAGGACCCCTTCCAGGGTGCAGGGCGTTACCCTGCACCATGCACGCCCATATCTGCAGAAACCTGCCTGTCGGCCCAGCAGGGCTGGGGCCGGGGGTGGCCCTAGCACTCCTTGCAGGAGCTCTGCCTGCTGGGTGCAGTGTCCTCTGGACAGCGAGTCTCCGAGCCATGGGAAGGCTCGAGTGCAGGCCTACTATTGGGGTAACGCCCTGTGCACCCCCATAGTGCCTAATGTAGGGCCTGGCACACGCCAAGTGAGGGAGTGTGGAGGTAGTGGGGGGCCCCTGCTGTGGGATCACTAGACATTTAGTGCTCTGAGTGAATGGGAAGTCCTCTTCCTGCTCCATTGGGAGCAACATTCCCTTAAGCCCCCAGGCCACCAGCAGCCACAGGCTCAGAGCTGCATTACGCCTGGAGTGCCCAGCAGTGAGCAAGCATCACCCACCCCCATCTGCTGCCAGGCTGCTGCTAGACCCTGCCTCTGGCCCAGGACTCCACCTGCTCCCGAAAGAGGAACTCGGGTGGGTGGGGGGGCGCCAGGAGTGGGCTGCAACTCTGTCATGTGAATGCAGAGGCGGGCAGTTAGTCTCCCTCCTTTGCATCACCCCGAGTGCCTGGTATGTCCCAGGCGTGGCTGGGGCCTCCGCTCCAGGCTGCTCAAGGCCTAGGCTGGGCACAACCCAACACAAGCCCTTACCATCGCGGCCGCTCTCCAGGGGCGGTGTGGGCTCCCGGCTGCAGGGGCCCCTGTCCTCTGGGCCCCCGCACACAGCTCCTCCCCGGGGCTCCTGCAGCCCCTGGGGCACGGGCACGCTGTTGTTGCAGTTGTTAGTGGACAGAGCCAGCAGTGGGTGCCTGGCCCGGGGACGGCAGGGCTGAGTCCGTCGTGGGGTGAGCTCGCAGGGGCCAAGACTTGCGCTTCGTGACGGCGGCAAGGGGGCATCTACCGGCTCTCTCTGGTCACTTGGCCTATGGGGCCCGGTCAGGGCTGCCTTCCTGTGCGACACAGGCGAGGTGGTTTTCCTTGACGTGGGAGGGGTTGGCACCCAGCTTTCAGGGCAGAGGGCAGCAGGGGAATGCTGGGCCTGGTCTGGGGCTGGGGGTTCTGCAAGGCTTTTTTGCTGGGAGGAAGTGGAGACAGCTTCCAGGGACTCCTGGCTCTGGACCATCTGGCCTCGTCTGCCTGGCCCCAAGGGCCCTAGCTTCATGGATGAGGCAGTGGCACAGGCTGTCCTGCAGGGGGCCTGGGAATCCACAGGGCAAGCCCAGTGGGGGCCAGGTCCAGGTCCAGTCTGTGGCTGGGCCCCTGGGGAAGCCTTCTTTAGTTCTGGAGCAGGGGGCTGGGGGACAGGGGCTTGTCTCTGAAACAGCATCCTCTCAGGTGTGTGTCCTCTGCCTTCTTTCATCTCAGCTCCCTCCTTTGCATCACCAAGCTCCGCCTCTGTCTTCCTGGGCCACCTGTGGCCTCCCCGCGGCCTAGAGCTCCGCAGCCTTGTCCGGCCACAGGCCTTGCTGGGCCTAGACGCTCCGGCCTCCTCGCTGTCGGTCCTGCAGCTGTCCGAGGTATCCGTGCTGTCCAGGGCAGAGTCCACCTCTTCTGAGCACTCAGGGGCCCCAATGTGGGTTTCTCGGATCCACTCCAGATGGAGCCCTGGCTCAGCAGAGAGGACCTGGAGGCTGTGGGAACCGTCGGACTCCTCCCGCACCACCTCCATGCCGCAGGCAGCCTGGAGCTCCTGAAGGACTCTGGGACTGGGAGGAGCAAGGGCTGACCTCCCCTTGGCCGGGTCCTGACTCTCGATACAACTGCCGCAGGCTCGGCACCTCCTCCCAGGGCCCCGCAGGAGCGGTTTGGCCGGGAGGCCCCAGCGGTCCATAAGCCTGCAGAAGGCCTCCTCCCCTGCGTCCCGAAGCCAGAGGCCTCCGCTGACGTACTGCGCCATGTTCGGCTTCGAGAGCAGGGGGCCTTGGCCAGTAGCCTTCTGCTTGGGATGAAGCACCTGGCGCTGGGGCTGGCGCTGCTGCAGCCGCTC